CACATTTGTTTACGCCAATTGGTTGAAGTTGCTGATATATTCTTCTTCTCCCTCATTGCTAAAAAGGCCTGCATTTACTAATAAATGTCATCTGAATTGCTTACCTCCAAGCTGTGTCTTTACGATAGATGAAATAATAAAAGTAATTGTTACTTTGATGATGTTATAATACCAAAAGACTGGGAGAGGATTTTGTTCTCTTAATTACTCTGATTATCTTACTAAACTTTGATTGAAGAGCATGTTTCAGAGGGATTCTTCTGCACGTAGAAAATAACTCCTTTTGTTGTATGGGTTGGGATGTTTGCAACATCCCAACATCAGCTAGCTGCCTTTTACATGATTTTTTGTCTTGTGGATTATGTACATTATTTGTGAATTTGAATAATTCAATAAATTAAAAAATCAATAAAATTAATAAATCAATAAATATTTTATTTGTGAATAATATTTTATCTGTAGGAAGGGCTGTATTAGGTATGCTGTGGAGTATCTAATGTTCTCTCATTTCTACATACCAGTCTTGGCCAGAATGTTCTGAACTTGCCCATTCTGTCATCTTTTGTTACCTGCCACCAAGAGGGTTACTGGGTGGTGAAGATAACTCCTATAGTACAAACACTGGTAGATAGTGGCCAGAGACAGTCATGTTTGTCTGCTCACTGGGGCAGGTTGCAGAAGTAGTGGCTGGTATTTTTTTATTGTTTTCATTTTCCTGATTATATGATTTAGGGATCTAACATCTTTGATTTGAGATCTTCTCTTAAATACATTAGGTGATTAATATTATCATCTGTGAATGTAATATAGTAAATATTATAGTATAAAGTGGTACGCCCTGTGCCTGTATTCCTTGAGGTTTGGCTTGGTAATCAGAATGATGTTTAGTTTTACTTTGGAAATAGAAGCTTTTGTTCACTTTTTCTCAGAAGCTGGAAATCCGGTAACTGTCAGCTGTGTCAGTCTAATGAGAAATGAAAAAGGAACATTGTTCCCACCAAGAAAAACTTCAAAAAACCTTTTCCAATTTATCTATCAAAATCACTGGTATTTTTTTTTTTTTCAATCTTTCCATTTTTTTTTCCCTTCGATTATTTTAGGGAAAGTGAGTCAAAGTAGTTTTCAGAAAATGCCTGATTTTACTGTCTAATATGGTAATTCCAAATGTTGATCCAATTATCTAGCTACTACAGTAGCTAGAAGCTTGTCTTCTGTATTTTCTGTATAAATTTTTTGTATATATGTTTCTATATATTCTGTATTTCAGGCAGGCAGTAGTAGTGCTGAGCATGATATTTCTCCATTACTTTTTACTCAGAGGTTTACGTCTTTAGCAGCTTAAAGACGTCTAGAAAAAGAAATCAATTATATTCCTAGTATCTGGTATTTCTTTTTAAGCCACTTGCAATAGAGCTGTTAAAACGTAGTGGAAATTCATCAAAGACTGCTGAAAGACAGAAATTCTGTGCCTCACTTAAACATAATTCTTTTCATGTATTATTATGATTCCATCAGACAATGCATTTTTTCTTGATGTTTTTTAATTCTTTGGGTTTAATTATTGTTCTCTCCCGGGCGCCGCGCCCCCCCAACAAACTGCTGGAAGTCTTACAGCTAACAGAAAAAACAGTGATACTTTACATTTTTATTTAAACAACAGTTTCTCCTGCATGTAGTGCAATGCATCTTGAATTTGGAGGGGATTTTGTGTGTGAATTGAGAGATAATAGTGTTTCTTGTACATATGACATATATTATTTTTAGAAATGAAAAATCTTGTAATGCACCAACTTCATATGCACCTTCCACTCTCCAGATACCTCAGTTCCTTTTCTGTTACTGTTTATTGTGACTGATGAAGAACAGTTTCAAATGATGTCAAGTCTTTCACAGAGTATCTGTACATAGATTGATAAATGAATAGATAGATTTTATTTGAAAAAGAGAATTCTGATCAGATACTTTTGAATAAAAACTAATATCAAATGCAACTGATTAAAACCACAATTTCAGAGTTTACTTTTCTTACAATCATAGGATCATAAAATCTTTAGGGTTGGAAGGGACCTTTAAAGGTCATTTGACCCACTCTCCTGCAATGAACAGGGACGTCCACAACTACGACAGGTTGCCCAGGGCCTGGTCCAGCTTGGCCTTGAAAGTCTCCAGGAATGTGGCAGTAATCACTTCTGTGGGCAACCTGTTCCAGTGCCTTCCTACCCTCAGTGCAAAAGATGTTTTCCTTCCAACCTAACTTTCCCCTTTTTAGGCTTGAAATCCTTTCTCACTGTCCTGTCACAGCAGGCCCTGCTGAAGAGTCTGTCCCCTTCTTTCCTGTAGCTCCCCTTTAGATACTGATAAGCCGCTATCAGGTCACCTTGGCGCCTTCCTTTCTCCAGGCTGAGCAGAGCCATCTCTTTCAGTCTGTCCTTATAGGAGAGGCACCCCAGGACTTTTTTGGCAGTGCTTTGCTCAGTCCTTTCATCCCCAGCTTCTTCTTCTTTTCATATAATCTTCCATTATAGAGTGGCGTTGTGAAAATGCAGCGTATTGATGTTGACATTCAGATTACTTAATCTAGCCATATTTTTTAGCTGAAAGTGAGATTTAACTGACTGTAAATTTAAACGTGTTAGTTAAATAAAATGTGGTTTTAAACTGATAACATTATTATTCTTCGAGTAGATTGTATATATTTGAAACTTAACCATTCATTTCTCAAGAATTAGAAGTTTTTAAGAATTATCTTTAAATTGTAGTTCAACAGTATCCAGTCTATCATGTCAGATTCTTCTAAACTGTGCTTATTGAAGTGGTGGTAACTGACTTTTCAGCAGAAAAGCTGAAGTGTGCAGTTCAGCTGCGGTGTATTTCTGCTGTCTATGTGTAGATGGAGGAGTTAATTTTTTTTTCTGCCATATTTTGATGTAGGATTCTGAAGCTAACTTTGTGATAGCTCTAGTCTGAAGTTGCACATGGCTATTCTGCATGACAGTCCCTACATATTACTACCACAGTACTAGAAGAGACTTTATTGGGACAGAGCTCTTATGTGTTTTGGTAGGAATATTTGGAATTGTGTGGAATGAGGCTGTGATGGTAGCACTGAATATGGGTACTGCATACCTTACCTCATTATTCAGAAACTCACCCCATTCTAAATTCAAAATGGGGAGGAAACTTTCCAGAAGAGAATGTTGTACTTAATGAGCATAATGAATTTGTACATAACAAACATAATATAAATTCAGAGATATTTCATGGAGCTAGGCATTTAATGAAAAAAAAAAAAAAGCATGTAAAAATACATCATACTATAAGTGTACCAATGACAAAAGCACAGGATTACCTTTTGAAGAAAGAAAACAGAATTCTGTGCAATCCACACTAGAAAATCTGCCTTAGCAGTGCGCTGGACTGGATGATATCCAGTGATCCCTTCCAACCCCTATGATTTTGTGACACACTTTTCTCACTTCTGGGACATAATTGTTTCAAAGAATGAAATAATAGATTATTTGTATCCTTAAGTTTAGAAACTTGGTCAAGAAGATAATTCTGTCTGGAGACTGGGCCTCATCTGATGTTAAATTTAAAAAAAATCACTTGTGCTAACTGAAATTTGGCAAGTCATTTTAAAATATTTTGTGTTTGCAGTAACTTCCCACTAAGTCATTACCATATTCTAACTTTTGCCTTCAGGTTTTCATATTTTTTTCTGAGAATGAAAGGAAAGCAAACATGTTAATACACCTTGATTCTTGCTTTTCATTGTACTACTTACGCTTTTCAAGAAAAAGAAAGGTAGATTAGAAGTAAATAGAAAGAGCAGACAAAAGAATTTGCATTATTCTACAGAAAGCAAGCTAATAAATGCTAGCAGTCCATCACAAACATGTTTCAATTTTTGTAAGAGTAAACACCTTCCATGTTTTTTTTCACTCCTTTTAAATTAACTGTAGCAATCTGGAAAGCCAGACTATGTATTTAGCATTTTTTGTATATCACTGTTTACCTTAAAGAAAACATTATCTCAGTTTTGCCCATTAATAGAGTCATTTATCTATAGTATTAAATTCTTTGAAAGTTTTTCCACTTAAGAATCTATTTTTTAGCCAATTTGCTTTCAATCTGGAAAATGCATGTACTGCAGGCATATTGATTTATTTATCACAGCCTCTTATAGTATTTTGAAGCTTTGAAAAAATAACTTCAGATATAAAATCATCTCTTAGCATTTGCAGTATTTCTTTCAAAGAATCCCATTTTCACAACTGTTAAGTGTGAATTCAACTGGTATAAAATATTCTACCGATAAGCAGGATTTGAAAGAAAACAATATGAAGATTATTGATCAGAGACCAAAGTGAAGTTGATGAGGGAAGTAGTGCATGACATTTTGAGGTGTACATTGCACAGAAGGCTAGATTACAGGTTAATAACATTCTATTCTAGGCCTTAAAACATAAAATTTTGAAGTGTCTGCTCCCATTCTTGCCTGTTCCTTCCTCTTTGTGGGAAAACACAAACAAAACAGAAAGTTGATGTGGTACTTCTGTGCATTTCTTAACTAACAAATTTCTCATTAGAAGAGATGTAGAAGTTGGAACCCTATAAATGCCTGCTAATACCTTTTGGGTGTGTGACTAGTATGTCACTTATTTTTAAGAAGAAAATAAGAAATGATGCTGCTGAGGATTTGTGCAGCGTTTGAATTCAATATATTATGCTTAAAATTACAAAGCACGGTTAATAGAGACAGAAGTAAGGGTATGGCTTCTTTTTGTTCTTAGCTTTAGAACTTAGTCAAGTCTTAACTGGGCTGAAGTACCTCTGTAATATCCTGGAATATCGCATTTTTTTCTGAGTTAACAACTTTAAATGTTCTTACCACTAGAAGAATTGGATTTCACATGTGGGATTTTTGTTTTTGATTTTGTTAACTAAAAGCTGTGGCATATTATACAACTTGTCACTCAAGTTCCTCTGTTCTTTTGCAGTGCACCTGCAGGAAAGACATGGTCACAATTTCCATGGACGTTTTTGTGAGAAAGTTTCAGCCAGACAGATACCAGCTGTGGAAACAAGGCAAAGATTTATATACCATTGATCATACAAAGCCGACTCCTGAATCAACACCTGAAGTAAAGATGTGGCTACAGAGAAGAAAGAAAATAAGGAAACTTTCTGACAGGTATTTGTTTCTTTATTCTTCATTTGGTTGTTTTCAATATGTTGTCCATTTCCCTGTTTCTTTTGTATGTCTCTGACATTCTATTCTAGTTTGTTACATGCATAGCTGAAGTTAATGAGCGTAGAGAACGTCAAAATTCATTCTAGTCTGGAATTTAGAATCATTCTTTAATAAATATAATTCCAGAGAAAATTACAGAATTTCGTTGTTTCTAGTGACTTCTGCATCCAAAAAACAAGGGAGAAGTGTCATCATCACAGGTGAGATAGGGATTAAATTGGAAAAACAAGGCATGGAGCTGTGGCAGAATCCCTGCAGCCATGTGATGTCTCTAGCAACAGTCTTAGCCCTCACTACAATCTGGTTCTAAGGAGATATCGTTGCTTGTTTGGCAGACTCAGTGCAGCAGCCAAAACCTTACTGTATCTACCTCAGGTCAGCGATAGATCATAACAACAGTCTAAATCCCAGTTATTTATGTTTGCACCACTAACAAAAATAGAAGAAAAAAATCTCAGCTGGTACTAAAGGTACTAAATTTCAAATCCTGACCTATTAAAGCAGTTTTACAGCTGGTTTAGTTTTCTTGTTGCTCATCATGTCTTTGTTTACGTAGCGCAGATACATTTTGTTTCTGCACTACTGCTTTCCTGTCCTGATTTTACTGAACATGATTTTTATGGATTTTCTTTTTCATTATCTAATAAAGATCATCTTAGCTTCTAGTGTAGAGTGGGCTGTTGTATTGATATCTATTTACGGTGAAGTTTTCTGCGTTGACAATACCTTTCCAAATTTCTATTTAACTTTGAATTTCATCATTTTCTTCGTGAGTGCATGTCATTACTGAGGAAGATAATAGAAAAATCAACCCATTTCTTCATACAGAAGAAAACCGACTCCTGTTGTAGAGGAGAAACTTAGCTGAGGAATGTAACATTGGGTTTGTTCTCAGGTTGCTAAGAACAGTTTGTGAGATTATAATCAGGTATTAAAGACAGCTAACAAAGAAGATGAGTGACCAGTTTCTTATAAGGGTACCAACCCAAACAGAATGATTTTGTCCATTAGCTAATTCAGCATCCTTTTGCTCTGTAGTAAGCTTCAGTTATGTTGTGGCATAACTGCGCCTGTACACTTGGATGCAGTTTTAACTATAAGCAAAGACTTTTTAAAAATCATATTGAAAGCATTATCACAGGAACACGTAGTATGATTTCATGCACATTCCTATGTTGTTTAATTCTTGATTGGCTTTTGTTCAGCCATGTTAATAATGCATCTTACAAAGGGAGAATGAAGTACTTGTTCAGCTTCATTTCTACTATAACATGTCAAATGAAATTTGTAATCATTTTGATTTTGGTAATTATGTTAGTTGCAACACAGGGAAAATTGAAATACCACGTATGGAGATTTTCATGAATGCACGTACATAACATAACTTCAACATCTGAAGCTGAAATAGTTTGCTTCAACACAACTGCATAAAAACAGTTATAATACTGGTTGTATCATACTTTGACAAATTTTACAATTTGTCAGAGTATCCACTTTGGATACTTGGAATTACAATTTTATAGAAATACTATTATTACTGTTAGTGTTTGAGAGGATGTTGGAAGGTATAGATTAGTGGATACTAGATAAAGGAAAAAGGTTAACAAAACTTTTTTTTTTCTTTTTTTTCCTGGAGATGTTTAGGGTCTCACATGCAAGACCATTGTAAAATCTCCTGTTTTTTTTCTGTAGTTGGGCATTTATTGCAAATGCATCATCAGTTTTACAGTCTAATACACGATCAGTCAGATACAGATCTTCTCTTTTGGTATCACAGAGTTGAAGTTGAAACTGGACTTCAATCTCCCATTTATCCTGAGCGCGTAAACTGCAAAACTGTTTCTGAAAGAGGCTCACAGCTCTTTTGTTCCAACTTTGCTCTTCAGCTTCTGAGAGTGCAAAAGCGTGTATGGAAGACTTTATTTCAAATTTGGTTTTTAAAAATCATTGTCAAATTTATTGTTTGATATAATAGACGTTCGGAATATTTGGTGATCAGAATTTTTTGTTCATTCAGGTGCTTGTTTGTATTAAAATGCGTATAAAACCTTCTGTGATATATGGGCAGTCCTGATTTTATAAGGGTACTTGATATAGTATTTTGCTAGCATTGGTATGGGAAGTAGCACCTGGTTTTAGCACATTTGAGAGTTTTGCTTTCATTACTTTCTTAATGGTTGATCTCTTTCAGGTTCAAAAGAATGGTTCATCAAAAAACTAATTTGGATGCTGGTTAAGTGATAGTTATGTAAAATCATTTTGCAGTTTAATAACTTCTGTCATAGAATGGTGAAAAAGATTAGAAGGTTAAATCAAATAGTTAATCTATCCATAAATTGTAAACACTATCTCAACACAAAAAGATGAAAAATTGTCAGGTTTTACCACTTTAAGCAGGTGAAAGGGACATATATATTGGTAGACATTTTATCTTATCCAAGACAGACTCCACTTTGACAGCAATATCTCTTATAGCAGCTTCCAGCACAACAGATCTCGATCTAAAAAGCTTAAAACTCCAGGGGACAAGAGACAATCTGCTATGGCAACTGGTGCAGAAATCAAAGAGACTGAAGCAACTACTGATGGCTTCAAGGTCAATGAAAAACCAGATGAAAAAGTGAGTCCGCTAAATACAGAAGTGCCTTCTGGAGAAGAAGAAAGCAGTAGCAGAATGCAGCTGGATCAACATTTATTGGATAATGTCAAGGTTGCAGGTGAGATAAGGACAGATGATTTTTCACATGTAAGTTGTAGATTCTCTGATGCCATGGATTAGTTGATATTAAAGCATTGTACTATCCTACATAGAATACTAACATAAGTACTTAGAAAGTTACACAGAGGGGGTTGATTCAGTAAAAGTGAATGATCAAATTACTGTTCAGAACTGAGAGTAGCATCACCTGTATAACTCCTGTAATAGCAATTGTACAGCAAAACATGGGATGACATAACACTGATGCCGACAGTGTTGAACATATATACTTGCAATGCATTACATGTATTTTTATCAAGAATACTGCATGTTAAAAGTAGTCTTTGTGCAAAAAAAGCTCTATTTTCAGACTACAAAATTACTGTCACTTTCCCTTTAACAGTCTGATAATGCAAGTTATAAAGCTGTTGTGAAGTCAGAGGTGCTTTGTTCCCTACAGTGATTTCGTACTGAGATCTACTGATATGTTTAATCTGCTCTTTCTCTTAATATTGAATTTCACTGTAGCTCAAGTATATACGTTCCTGTTCCAAAATGCAAATCTTGAAATCTTACCTTTGAGGGCAGTCCTGTGATGTCAAATTCATACAAAAAATTGGTATACACAGACTGTTTTCCTGGTTTTAATTATTAATAGTTGTGTTACTTTTGTTAGAGGTGGTAAACACCAGGATTGAGCCCATGAGGATGCCACTTTGATTAATCCAATATGGAAGCTTTTTGTCGTGCTGTTCCTTTACAACTTCCCCCAACTTTAACAGAAGTTTGAAATGTTCCATGAACACTAAAAAAGTAGTGATCAGTTATAGTGATTAGTTAGCTTCCTTCATGTGCTCATTGATAAGGGAAGGAAAAGCAGAGAAAAGTGGAGCACTATCTGTTTTTCCTTGTGCTATTGAAAAGTGGTACCCACACCTTTGTAAAGGAAAGGACCATTTTAGATGTAACACTGGTAGCTCCAGGTGAAGGGATTTGCCCTGAGTTATCTCTGGCTAGTACATTCGTTATGCTCTATTGGGGCAGTAGTCTTCATTTGCATAGATTCTGTTTTGTTATTGGATGGACTTTTATCAGTTTTCTAATTTGCTCTGTCGTTTTATCAGAAGAGCACACTGAAATAACCAATGTGAAGAAGAAGTGAGAGGGGGCTTTAGAGTCTTTTTTCTTTATTACCTTGGAAGTGCTGCTGAAAAGTACAATGCGGTGTGTGGCATAGAGTTCTTTGAGAACATATTTTTTGGGTCCCCTCTCCAGCCTCCTGTTCTGTCTGAAAACATCCCAGAAAACATGGAAATCCATGGAAGCACCCACAGATAAAGAATTTCAACAAAGTAAATCCACACAAATTTCACCCTTCTGCACTGAAGGGTGAAATTTCACTGAAATATGAAATTACAGTAATTGCTGAACTATAAATTTATGCTAATTGCTTTTCATTTTTAGACTAGTGCTGTCGCTTTCAAAAATATTCTTGGTATCTATTTGGAATATATTTTCCTAATTATAAACCATTAGTCTTTGTTTATTTTCATTTGTAAAACTGGCATAACACATATAAATGCAGATCATAAAGGTCAATATACCAACCTTCTATATTGTGGTTTTTTTCAGCCAGTAAAAGTGCTTGCAAGCTGTCAGAGTAAACAAGCTACATGAATATTGATTATTTTGAATCACTTAAAACTGTCGCAATTCAAACACAAAATGCCCATAAGAAGATTAAAGCTATATTTCACACTCCAAACTCAAAATTTTACATTTAATTTATTCTGTGATCAAACCTATATTCCACTTTTATGTATGTCCTTCTACTACATTATTTGTTTTGTATGATTTCTAAATGAGGAACTGTATTCTTTATTTGAATAATTCAGATTGTTTTGAAGTGAAATGCAGTAATATAATGTGAGATTTATTAAGAAGCCGTATTTTTGATCCACAGGAAGCATCCTTTCAGACTTATTTTCCTGTCCTGTTCCTTTACGAATGGAACCAAAAGCTGGTGAGGACAAGGAGGATTCCAGTGACTCTCTCGTTGCATTTGAAGATTCAGGGGCCTGTGTGCCCACTTCAAATAGCTGTAAGAAAGAAGAGAGTTTGAAAACTCAGTATAAGTCTAAATCATCCATACCATACCTGAAGTGCCAGGAGCATAATTCTGAGGCAGAAAGCCCAGCTAAAAAGGAGAATGTTTCTACAGAGGATGATGTCAGTGACTTAGAAAGTGGAAGTAGCTTGAGTCGTGGTGAACTGCCAGTTGCAAAAAGGAATGAAGATGATGACATGGAAACATCCAATGTATGTGAAGCAAATTTTCATCACTATATTAATATATTCCTGATTCAATACATGACTAAAACTGTTCCTAATGAGAATTGGTATCTATAGTAAGGCAGTTAAGAATATACATGATTTTAATCAAATGTTAATTTCAGTATCTTCTGAAGTGTTCAGACAAGAGTGAGAATTGAGAGGTAGGATTTTTTGGATCTTATTTGTTGATGTGTTTTCCCTCTGATTTTAGATTTTCACTTTGTGTCTGTGAATCTGATCTGTCAATGCCTACTCATAAGGTGTTCTATGATCGCTGTCTGCCAGTGTTAACAAGGCAGTGAGCTTTAATTGACCAGCAATGTGTTGAACCAGAAATACAAATTATTATGTATCACAGAATGGTAGATGTTGGAGGGGACCTCTGGAGGTCACCAGTCCAACTGTCTTGCTCAGTCAAGTTCACCCAGAGCACGGTGCCCAGGACCGTGCCAGGTGGCATTTGAAAATCTCCTTGGAGGGAGACTCCACAGTCACTAGACAACCTGTGCTGCTGCTCCATCATCTGCATAGTAAAGAGTGATTCCTGGTGTTTAGACAGTACTTCTTGTGTTCCACTTTGTGCCCACTGCTTCTTGTCCCAGCATGGGCACCACCGAAAAGAGTCTATCCCCCACTCTCTTCAGGTGTTCATACACATTGGTAAGATCTTTCTCTTCTCTATCCTGACGTCCCAGCTCTCTCAGCCTCTCCTCACAGTAGAGTTGCTCTGGTCTGTTGTTCATCTTTGCAACCCTGTTGATGACTGGACTCTCTCCCTGTCTTACTTGAACTGGGGACCCCAGAATTGGACACAGTACTCCAGATGTGACCTCACCAATGCTGAGGGTTAGTTCTCTTGACCTTACAGTGATGCTTGATCTGATACAGCCAAGAATGCCATTATTTTTCATACCTGCAAGAGCACATTGCTCAACTTGGTGTCCATGAGGACCTCAAAAGGTTTTTTCCTGCCATGCTCCTTTCCAGCTGGGTGAACCCCAGCATGTCCTGGTGCTTGAGACTGTCCCCCTCACTTGAAGGACACTGCATTTCTTCTTGTTGAACTTCATAATATTTTTGTCAGCCCAACTCTCTAGACTTTCGGGGTCTATCTATGTGCCTGTCGAGTCAATCACTCCTCACAGTTTTGTGTTATCCGCAATTAGAAATGAATACTGTATTTATTATCACACATTTATATTTAAAAAAATGTTTTTTTTTTTTACCCATTATTATGCTAAGAATCCAGAAGAAGGCAAAGGATCTAGTAGAAGGGCTAGAATTAATGTCCAGTGAGGAAAGGCTGAGTACAGTCGGGTTACCCAGTCAAGGAGACCAAGAGTCAGTACAGCTCCCCGAGGAGGGGAAGCAGTGGGAGCTTCTGGGTTCTGCTCTTCACAGCTTATGGTGGGCAGGAATGGCACAAAGCTGCCATAGAAGGTTCATATTTCACATTAGGAAGCATTTCTATACCATGATGATGATCAGATACTGGAACAGGCTTCCTAGGGATGATTAGTAGCCCATCCCTGTCAGTGTTTCAGGAGGCATTTGGACAGTGTTCTAATTTTGCTTTAGCTTTCAGTTAGTCCTGAAGTGGCCAGGCAGTTGGAATAGATAGTGTTCGAAAGCTCCTTTGAGCTGAATTTAACTCTTCTGTTCTAATGCACTGCTGTTCTTCTGTGGAAGGGTGAAGAGCATTTATTTTAGGAAGCATAATGAAAAATACAGAGCTGTAGTGCTAGTCACAATAGTTTTATTAGTTTGGCAGTTTCCCTGTTTGGCGACAATGGAGCCGGTGATCTACTGCCAGATTGCCAGTGTTAATGGGAAACTGGGAGGTAAAATTAAAATCACTCCAAGCATTTTACAGTCAGGAAGTGTGCACTAATGATTTTTTATTGGCTTTGTTAGCTTTAATAAGCATCCTGTATTGGAGATTATATTTATCTCTTTCTATGTTTTCAGCCATTTGTATGTTACATATAACATAAGAGATTTCAAATATTCCCCAGTATAATTGCTTACTCTTTAATGTGTTTTTCTTGTAAGTTCTTACTTAAAACTTACGAGTATGCTGCATAGATGCAATTAAAAAAGCAGATCTTTTCCTTTATAATTTGCTGGTAACTTCTTCCAGATCATCAAGCTGTCCACTGCTTTAACGTCATTTTTTCTCTGCTAATCATAGTAAACATTCCTTGTAATCGACTATACAACTGATATGTAATATTTAATTCTCAAAGCAATCAAGGCATAGATATGAAACCTGCTGGGTTGCATTCTTAGTGTTGAGCAGTAAAACAGTGTGGCCCATAGGAGTTGTGTGAGATTATCCTCAACCTGTTGCCAGTATGACTGTGCTTCCTCTATTGAGAAACCAGCAACTGGTTTACTTTGTGATTTCTCCCACTGTCACCCAAATCTGGAGTTGGGAAAGATGCACTTCTAGAGATTGCAACATTGCTGTTAGTTCTTGAAGCATGGTTAATTTCAAGTTGAAAGTCTGTAGGGTCATATAAGGGAGGAAGGAATTTCCATGTAAATCCTGTCAGGATGCTTAAGTTTTTTTTGTCTCAACTCCAAATCCTTTCCTCATTTTCAGAGCCACAGTTAACGTTTGCATTGTATTTCTGATTCTGCAGTTATTGGGCTGTTCTTCCTCTCAAACATTACCTGTGCAAAGGAGGACTTATATTCTATAAGTGTAGAAAAGGCTATTGTAACTTCAAATAATTTGTGTTTGAAAAAGGTTGCTTTTTCTTAATTTGAGTTTTATTCTTGTGGACATTTTATTGTGACTTTAAAGGTGCTTCGAGTACCCTTATATTACTTAGAAATTGATATCTGTGCACATTTATAGAAGACTGGTTGATCAAAATTAATTGTAGAATTCTGTGCTAAATTAGCTGTGCTTTTACCTTTCAGTCATCAGAAGCTGAAGGAAAGAAAGTATCTAAGAGCTGGCGTCATCCACTAAATAAACCCCCAGCTAGATCTCCAATGACTTTGGTTAAACAGCAAGCAACTAGTGATGAAGGTGAGTGTACTGCTTAGTAAATTTTTTAATAGTCCTTTTTTGTCCTTAGACCATATATGGTCATTTTCACAAGCAACAAAATTTTCTTTCTGTATGGGAGATACTAACATTGTAGGGTGATTGCACGAAAACCATTCAGTGTGGTCTCTGAATACACTATTCTATTTTTACTCTTCAAGTTCTTCTAAAAACTTTGGATCTATTGTTGACAAATCCTCTTAATGGAAGTCACTAGGAGTTCTGTGTTCACCAGTCAAGTCTTCCTTGTTTCTCAGAGCAGCTGAGCTTGTGAGCAACCTGGAGCAGATCCAGAGAAGAGCAATAAGGCTTGTGAAGGGCTTGGAGAATATGCCCTATGAGGAGAGACGGAAGGATCTGGAGCTGTTTAGTCTGGGGAATAGCAGGCTGAAGGGGGACCTTATTGCTCTTTTCAAATACCTGAAAGGTGATTGCAGTGAGAGTGGGGTTGGTTTCTTCTCTCTGGTGACAGGTGACAGGACAAGAGGAGATGGCCTCAAGTTGTGCCAGGGAAGATTTAGGTTGGATATCAGGAAGAACTTCTTTACCGAAATGGTTGTTAAGCACTGGAATAGGCTCCTCGGGGAGGTGGTTGAGTCACCATCCCTGGATGTGTTCAGAAACCGTTTGGATGTGGTGCTCAGGAACATGACTTAATGGAGGGATGTTAGGGTAGCATGAACATAGGAAGAACATAGTTCTGTTTCTAGATATATTGAAAGTAATCTTTGAAAATTAGAAGCAGCGAAAGGTCTCCTCGCCATTTCCCCAGGTGAACAGTTCTCTAGAAATTTTATTACATCAGTTTTCGGTTCACTTTGAAGACTTGGAAAGCAACTAAAAGTAGAGTAAGTAACCTGCATGTGAATTTATAAGACAGAGGTTCTGATTCAGCATTTAGGTACTTACAGTCTTTATTTTGCTATTTTTAATATTGACTAGTTTCCATTGTTTAACTCAAATGCATAAAGAAGCTTAATATTAGTTAATAATTCTGTATATGCTTGCTTGTTTCTTAACTATAAATTGCTGGTATGGATGTTAGCATGTATTATATTGTACCTTAATTATGTATTATTTGGTACCTTAAGGCATATCAAAGGGTATAATGAAGTAGGAATTAACAAAAAGAAGCACGTGCGTAAATAATTACAATAAACTACACTGATATATTGAACATGATTCTGTACTCAATAAATGCTAAATAATTCTCCAGCCATTAAATTTAGTGTTCTGTGATTAGATACTGTGGTGATCCAAAAAGTTAAAAAAAAAAAATACTCAGAATTTGTCAGATATTCTTTATTTGGAACCTTACTTGAGTGCTTTAACTTTAGAGATTCTCAATCTTGTGGACAAGCTACGAAAACTAAAGTGTTTACCCATAGTAATGATCTCCTTCTCCGAAATAAATAGAAGAAATTCTGCCTTACCCAGTAATCACAAGTACATCCAGACAGAGCTAGTAAATAAAGTTACTTCATTCTGTCAGATGTGATTTGCGAAGTTTATTGAACTATGCATCAAAGATATCAATCAAAGTGGAAAACAGATACGTTGTTTTTATTACCTTGGTGTTTTAGTTCTGTGATTTACAGTTTTTTTCTGGACTTGTTCTTCAGAATCCTTTCCAGTTAGCACCAGCAAGTCCAACCCATGGCCTGTGGGCTGCTTGTGGCCCAGCATGGCCCAAAATGTCGTCCACCCTCTCCACGTCATTTAAAGCTGGCAGTTCTTCCCAGCAGTGGCCCCAGACATGTGCCCGTTGCTCAGCAACACTGAAGCAATCACAGCTCTATTGGCACTATGTTGTCAGAAAGCAGCGCACAGGGAGGACAGTGCTGTGCAGGGCTGACTCGGGTGATGGCCAAAAAGCTGTATGCATTCTGATACACTGGATAAACACAGGGCCCTGAACAGTGAAGAATATGCAGCAGTGCTTTCCATTTTGATGAAGGAATTTGACAATAGAATCATGGAATTGTGGGATCATTAGAGTTGGAGTGGAGCTTTAAAGATCATCTAGTCCAACTCCTCTGCAGTGAACAGGAACATCCACAGTTAGATCAGGTTGCTCAAAGAAACAATGCAGCCTGGAGTTGAATGTCTCCAGCAACAGGGCTTCCACAACATCTCCGGGCAACCTGCTCAGTGCCTCACCGCCCTCACTGTAAAAGACTTTTTCCTTATATCCAACCTGAATCCCCCCTCTTTAAATTTGAAGCCCCTTCCCCTTTCCTCACAACAGACCCTCCTGAAGTGTCCCCTTCTTCCTTATAGCCCCTCTTTAGATACTGAAGGACCACTCTCAGGTCACTTCAGAGCCTTCTCTTCTCCAGGCTGAACAGCTCCAGCTCTTTCAACCTGTCCTTGTAGAAGAGGCGTTCCATCCCTTGGACCATCTTTGTCACTCTCCTCTGGACATGCTCCAACAGGTCCATGTCTCTCCTGTGCTGATGACTCCACACCTGGATGCAGATCTCTAGGTGTGATCTCATCAGCGCACAGTAAAGGAGCAGGATCACCTCCTTAGCCCTGCTGACTTCTATTGATGCAGCACAAAATTTGGTTGGCCGTGTGGGCTGCAGAGCTACGCTGCTGGCTCCTGTCCAGCTTTCCACACACCAGTACCTCCCAAGTCCTTTTTGGCAGTGCTGTGCTCATTTGTTTCATGCATGGCCTGTATTGGTAGTGGGGTTTGCCTCGGCCCAGTGGCAAGACCTGGTATTTGGATTTGTTGAATGTCATGAGGTTCACTTGGGCCAAGAGCTCAAGCCTGTCTAGGTCCCTCTGGCTGGCATCCTGTCTCTCTGGTTTGTCAGCTGCACCACACAGCCTGGGGTTTAAAGACTGTTCCCAAAAAATCATCTATTTACATTTGCGAGTCCAGTTTCATTTTATGAAACTACATAACCTGAAAATTTTCAAACGAAATGTGTGGAGTAGCAATCAGATATTCATCTTAAGTATCTGATTTTTACTGGACTTTCATAATCCTTGCCTTAGCAGAGAAAAATATACTTCCCTTCATAGTCAGGCCTTATTCATGTCATTGCGAATTTTTCAATGAACAGTTGTTGTCAAGGGTTAGGTACAAGAGGAAATTTCCTGAAAAGCCTCTCATAAACAGCTTGCAGCCTCATTAAGAATTGCAGTCATTTCCATTGGAGCAAACTGGTGTATTAGTTTCACAAAAACAAGGTCAAATATCCCATTAGTTTTATGTTTTAGTTCCTTTTTCCTCTTTTTTAATGTTTTAAGCTACAAGTGGACTTTCTTAAGTTCTAAGAAATACAGCATGCTTATTAATTGATTCTTCTTCTTTTGACTAAATAATGTTACACTTCTAGTTAGCATCAATTTAGGAACTGTTGAGCTGGATGCTGTAATTTTAACTGTAACTCATCGCTACATCTCCTTCCGTGTTCCAGGCCAAAACTATTTGATTTGTTTCTTCTTTATCAGTAGCTTGAAAAAGCCATAATCTCTCTCTCTTTCTTTATCTGAACCTCAGTTTTGCAGACATAATACTTCAATTAGCTGTTAAGCATCTATCTGAAAATTAGAGACAGCTTAGGCATATGATCTGTATCATATATGGATATGTTTGGATACCTAGAGGGCTAGGCAGAGAGTATTTCAGAAAGTATTATGATAATTTACACAAAAAAGATGATGTTAATATTAAGATTCATCTAGTGAAGTAATTAAAGATATAAATATGTGGTACGTTGTAGTGAAATTGCTCTCTTTTAATTAGAGATTAGAGTACTTTTGCTTGCTGATGCTTATTTAACATTCGCTATAGTTAAAACATAGTGTAAAATTCCCTCTTAAGCTTAGATCGTCTGTGGTACAATCTAGCCAGATGATGTCATGACACTGGTTTACATATCTCAAGGATTGTGTTCTTCTTTTGCAGCCCTATTCAGTAGTTTTTCAGCCTTCTGGTATCTTAGTTTTATTTGAAAATAGCAGTTTTCCAAACAGGAAGTCATAACCACTAAATACCTTCCAGTCTTTCCTGTCTAAATGATTGTGCTCCTGGTAGATGAGAGTATATTTTTGTTAGGAAAGAACCATTTCAAGTAGCTATTAAACATCCGTCTGCTTATTGACTGAAGGAAGTAATTAAGAGTTACATTGAACAGTAGCAGTTACTGGTATTTTCTAGCTGGAACCAGAGCTTGATACTATTTTCTTGCGTCTGCTTCTCTCTGTGATCTAATTTATCAGCATGCCTTTGTGAGAACACAGAAGAGAGACAGTAGATTTTGGTAAATGGAATGTTTACATCCAAGACAGAGATGGAAGAACTGCTGAGGGAGGCTGGAAAACTGAAACTTCACTAGCTTTGCTGGCAAATGCTGACATGTGAGGTAGAGATCTGTTACTAGTTAAACGCCAGTGAAAGGAGATTTTTCTGATTGTAAGGATGTTTCTTGTCAGATATCAGGGAACTGATACCAGTTTCAATGTTTTAATGATTATGTTCCCCTTTTTAAGTGCTTTGTTCATATTCTGGAATTACCAGAAATTTTAATCAGTGTGTATGTTTAATTCTTTTCCTGGGTGCTTTCCGAATGGAAATGATGCCAATAATGGCTATGGTACTGTCGTCCCTTGGAACTATAGCTGTTATCTCATCTGTTCTTCTACAGGAAGGATATGTGTATTGATAGATTGTTTATATTGGCTTATAGTTGAGTTTACTGGATTCAGTCATTTCATAAACGTAAAAAAAATGAAAGAAGGAAAGGAAGAAGAGGAAATGGGCTGATGCTGTCATGGAAAATTAAAGAAAGTAGAGCTTTACACTTCATTTGCAAATCACGTTACTTCAGTTGGGTAGTGTGTTTATAGCCATTTCTAATGCAGATAATTTATATTCAAATTAATATATTTGAAGTCTTTCACAAGCTAGGCTTCTGTTAGGAAGATTCTGCAAATAGAGGTGATCAGAGACCGTTAATAAGGAGAAG